ACAAACTTATTCTAGTAAGATAGCTCACGGAAATTAAAAAAATTGAAATATTATCATTTGAAAAACTTTCACATAATTGTTTTAACCTATCGTCTATTCCTAAATTATCACGAAAAGCTCCTGCTCTATAATTTAATATTTTTACTAATGCACTTGAGTTGCTCATCTGTAGAGCTTCAATAAAAATCCATATATTAGGATGATTAATTCTCACTAGTGTTGTAAATTTATTATTCCACCCCCTTCCGAAATATTGTTTGTTCTACCTATACCAGCTTTAGTTAAGCCAAACACGTTCCATATAGAAGGCGGAAATAACGGTGGTTTTCTTGTATGTATTTTAAGTCTATGTTTTTTTTATTTCTATAACGACCGTTAACTTAAGTTGTATCAAAGTACGTAAGAATTTGATCAGCATCTTGGTTATGAAATTTTTCATATAACAACTTTATACCCATAAACAACTTTCAACTCATTTACTGGTACTAAGGGTGGATAAGATGCATTTTTAACTCTTCTTAAACTTCTTTTTACGCCGTTTTCTGCAGGCATTAACAATTTTGCTTCGTTAGATAAATTTATTACGGCTTTGGAAAATATAATAGAAGGGGTTCAGAATTATTTTTTGCATTATTTTTCATTGATGATAATGATTTTATTACCTCCACTTCAACTGGGCAGGCATTATGATTATGGTCAGTTTTAGAAACAATAACTTTAATGTTGACATCAGATGTAATACTTCCTTGACAATTATTTTCATTGTTTTTAGATTTTTTACACGATTCCAACGTATACCCACTTTAACAAGTTTTTGTTTTACATACACGAAATCATCAAATATGATTTTTTTACCACCTCTTTTAGTTTCTACTATTTCCATTTTGAAATACACAAGAATGAACAATATACAAGCTTCGCACAATATCACGAACTATACTAAGAGACCTAAAGGCAATATATGTTGTAAATAGTTTAGATAATTTGAGTTTGGTTTATCAATCATTACCCATTTAATTGGGTAATAAAAGTTATAACTCCATAACGTGAATGATTATATTCGATAGATACTGATATGATGATCGTATATCTGGGGTAAAACCAAAGAACCAACTGTCTAACCTATAATTAAAAGTAAAAAAAAAAATTTTTTTCGGGGGGAAACTGTCTCAGTCCGGTGGAGAAACGTCCAGTACCACTAAAATCATCGGGGGGGGGGGGGGAAGACACGGGGGGAAACGTCCAAATACCGATGAAGATTAACTTCTCCGAAACGGATGAAA